AACTCCTGCGCGGGGCCGGGACCCGGCGTCCCGCCTGCCCGCGAGCTCCAGGCTACCCAGCGAAGCCCGAGCACCCGGTACCGGCGTCCGGCTCTGTGGGCCTGTCGCTCCCGCTCTTTCGCTGTGTGCGGCGCTTAGTCTCACTACGTGTGCCCGTCAGTCGCCAGCGTGTCCCCTTTCTCCCGCGGATTCTCAGTGTCACATTCCAGCCTGGATACCTTGCTCTGTCACTTGTTCATGTCTCGCCACAGATGTGCTCGAAGTTTCCTCGTGGCCCCTTTTCCTTAAGGGAGGCCCTGCCCTCTGCCTGCTCTCACCTCCCGTCTTCCTCCGTCTGGCGCACGCCCTGGCTCCCGGGGCTAGAACCGGGGCTAGGTAGGTGCTGTCCCGGCGTAGCAAATTGCCTGCCAGCCCCTCCGTTCTTACCAGCTCCTGTTTGAGGCGACGCAAATAGCAATCCATTTCCCCACTCTCCTTCCTCACGCGCCCATTTGCAGGGCTCGGCTCCACGAGAGTCCCCAGGTGGGAACACCGGCCCCACTGGAAACTGCGCGCCGGGCGGGTACCTCGCCCTTGCGCTCAGTGCCGATCGCAGCGCCCAGCGTGACAAGGCTCTGCTCCGAGGCCGGGACTTAGAGCAGCTTTCTTCACGCATTGGTCCCTGTTTGCTCAGGACCCGGGCTGCGGCTACCGGGGGTGCCTGGCGTGTGGACACCTGGCTTGGCCAGCGCAGTGGCAGGGTATCATGACGCCAGGCCGTATCAATGTCTCCAAAGCACGTGACTCCTATATGGTCATAAAGAGAGAGCTCAGTTTTGAGTGGGTGCTGGCTAGCGGTCCCAGTAGGAGGAGGCGTGCTAGTGTCAGTCTTCTTTCCCTCGCTCCGATCTGGGAGGGAACACTTCCCAACTCCCCTAACATACACACCAGAAGTCCCCAGAAGACCTTTTCTCTCCCAAGTGTGGCTGCAACTCACCTCCTAGTATAAGGGTCCTCCCAGACGCTCCTTACCCGCTGGGCGGAGAAGCCGCGGCTCAGTCCGCGTTTTTAACACAAAGCAGTGGAGCGTCCGTGTGCCCCGAGGGGTTGCAGTTCTGGGGATGCTGAATAAGACAGGCAAGGTCTCTGCTCTCAAGAACCTACACGGATAGAGCCGGGGGTATGACACAAACGGGGTAACACGCATACACGATCATTTCGGCCCGTGATTATTTATAAAAACATAAAAGGAGGTACCGAGATGGAGGCTGCTTTGAAATAGGATGGCCAGAGAGTGGAGGAGCAAGCCTTGTTCTCCTCAGGACTAAGTGGCTCTCTGGCCTCTAGAAGGTCGGCGGCACTCGAAGATGTTCCGATTCTATTCAAGAGGCACCGCCAGGGTACCTGAGGTGTGCGAGCTCCGTGGAGAGGTGGCAGGTGGACTGCAGAGGGCCGCAGGCCTAGGGCTCTCCTCCAGGCTGGGGACCCGCCGTGCCCGCCTCGGCGCCCGCTCCAGCTGCAGTTCCCTCCCTCGGCGGAGGCGCCGCGCCACCCTGCCGGGCCCACTAGAGGCGTGTCGCAGAGCTGGAGAGTAATTAGGGCAATTTGTAACGTGTTGTTTCGAGGTAATTAACGGGGAAAAGATTGTCCCAGAACGGACCTGAGGGGCTCTGTGTGGGACAGAACCATAAGGACCTGAGAGAAGGAGCGCCACTTGTGGTATTGGTGGGGGAAGGGAGAAGGGAGAGAGATTATCTTTAGAAGCGAAGACTTTGAGGAGTTGAGTGGAATAGTCTTTACTTAACCCTACGCTCTCAATTTCAGGAGACGTTGACACATCTTCCTGCCTACCACCCAGTGCCACTCTTGGGTGAAGCTGGGCCAACGGTAGCCAGTAAAGAGAGAAAAGGAAAAAGAGGTGTAGGTGGAGTAGACTAGGTCTGGAGCCCTGGTCTACGTGGCTGCTGGCAGAGCCCAGGCGCCAGCGCTCAACTTTCTCACCTGCTGTCCTTGTGAACATAGAACACAGCTAGAGCAGAAAACAGAGCTAGAGCTCAGCACACAGCTAGAGCAGAAAAGTCAAAGCCCCAGGATGAAAATGCAATCTGCTTGGGTGTTCCTAGTGCATTCCAGGACTGCTTGAAATTACAACTCCTGGGGCTAAGGTGTTGGACTCCCACATGGCAGATGGTGGTTTAGTCCCGGACTTTGTGGCTTGCTTTCTCACTTTTCCTTTCTCTCTCTGATGAGCACACATTCCCTATAGTAACCTTTAAAAAAAATAATAATAATAAAATAACTTTCTAAATAAGAAAGAAGTTATAACTCCTTTTGCTCTCCCAGGCATTCTCTGTGAATCTGGCTGCCTCCCGTGAAGAACAGAACTGACCCTCCAGCTTCCTTATAGTTATGAGTTAAAGTTCTCCAAGAGACCCTTTTCCTTGGGATCTGTGTACTGTTCAGAATAGGGGTCCCCCAGCAAGGATGCAGCTGTGATTTCCAGCCTTGCTGAGTGAGTTCTGGAC